TTCAGATGGCAAGGAAAGGAAAGAGCCCTATAGGGAGCAAAAGCTGTAAGATTAGTCCAATTTCATTACCCGTATTTAGTCCATGTCTCTCTTCATCTCAGTATTGAGTTTGCTGCTGATGTGACAGAAATCTGTTTCAAGAACATAAAATGTGCTACAGGATGTTACCATGGAGAAGGAGAGCTGCCACTGCAGGTTAGAGAATATACGCTGTGTAAGAAAGGCTTACATAGTCCATAAAAAAATCCCTGCTAAGTCCTAGTAGTTAGCCATATGCAGCATCAAGCTTTCTTTTGGACTGGATGTCATGAGCTAAGCAGGTCTGAAGGTGGGCTTGAGTCTTGAAGTCAGTTGGCAGCAAGTAACAGCAACCATAAAGGTCATCTTACTCCATTTTATTTCTAGTACAGTTCAGCCATATTACACCACTTCTTGTGTTACTCAGTTAAATCTAATCGAATGTTCCAGTCATGTTGACCAGCGTCACCTGCCCTGTGCCATCCATCATGGCCTTATGTCTGACCTATATCGTGATGCTTTCTCTCTGCCTGGCCCATTCCATCCAAGCTATCCTAGTATGTTGGCCTGTTTGATCCACCTTAGTTTACTAATCCTGTCTGTTCCATCTGAGTTAATAGTGTAATAGCCTTCTCCATTCATGATGATCTGATGCTTAAAGCTGATTCAGCCACCCTGCAATAAAGATGTAATCTATTCTGTCAGTGTAGACTCAGGCCAGTTTGCCATGATGCACTACCATTAACCTTCTATCCTGAACAGGATTAACCTTAGCACAAGGAAATAATTTGGCTGGAGCTCTGATTTTTCAAGATTAGCAAAATTTTCATACCTTAATACGATCCTGGCTCCTAAGGCAGAGCATTTGGTACTCCTTATTCCCAGTGACTGAAAAAGGTCTTCTCTGTGCGTTATGTCTTCATTCCTTGCTCTAATGGTGGTGAGAAATGTATCTCCAGTCCCCATACACATGGGACAGGGAAGCTGCCTGGAACAAGAAGCCATGGACAAGGGAGATTAGCCAGCCCTCAGAGACGATGTTGCAGTAAACTGGGACTGTAGAGCTTGTGACAGGAAGTCTTGTTCACCCTTGCTGAACAGTGAGAGTGAGAGACTTGCCACACCTTGCCTCCTGAGGTGTCAGTTGTCACATGTTAAACCGGTTTTACAGTGGCGCAGAAATCAGACTGCAGCAGAGGATTAAGTCCAGCAGAGAGGAGATGCTTGAAAAATAATGTTACAGCACTGCCCTTGCCTAGTTTGCTGGTATTATCTCATTATTCAAGCCTGGTCTATGCATTCTAATGTAATTCAAATGGGTCTATTCATACTGAGAAATTTCTATCAGTTATTCTACTTCGTATAGTTCAGTCTATAGCTTGTTCTGTTCACCTTAACTGATTTGCTTGCTTTGGCCTGACTATAGCAATTCAGATTATCAGGTTACTTTAGCCACCCTGCTCCACAAACATTTGTCAGGAAGCGATCTGCAGCATATGGATTCTCAGGTTACTTTAGCCACCCTGCTCCACTAACATTTGTCAGGAAGCAATCTAGCAATCTTGTTTGGCCCATCCTCAGTAACCGTCTATGGCCCATCCCTTGGGCAAACCAGGCTTGAACATGGACTTGCTTTCTTGCTCTGTTTTAGAATCCAGAAATTACTCTCAAGGAATGTAGACGCAATAAAAGGACTAATAGCATCAGAAGGCTGGGAATGCCAGAGAAGACTTACAGAGCAAAGAACACCACATTCATCACAGCTCCTTTGAAAATGCAGCCAAGTGAACCTTTAAGAGAGATTGTATCATCCACCTAAAGCTTCTGCATATCCTGGCTTATTTGTGCACTCTGAATCTGGTCAGGTCAGGTCCAGGCATGCTATCTCACGTTCTGACTTGTGCTATCAGCTAAATTCAGAAGCCTCGTTTGCCGTTCAGTGTGAGGCAGAGCATTTGGAACTCTGTTCCACTACCTTCTTTCCATATTTCCATAACCCATATACTCCCTGTATGACTGTCATCCTGGAATAAATGGAATGAGTTACTGTCAGTCTCTTATCCTCTAGACCAAGTTGCTTCATCTATTGCCAGGTGTCTACCACCTCTCTGAAAGGATGCCTGTCTTACACTTCTTCCACAGCTATTCCCAATAACTGTTTTGGAGTAGCGTTGTTTGATTCTGTATGCCAGATACTTAACCATCCATTTTATAGTGTAGAGAACTCAATGCCTGGAAACACTTCCTATTCATCTGTAGTTAACCAGTGTGACATTACCTAGAAATTTAGATTCTTTTACACAGGCTTGTAAGGAATTCTAGATGATTACTTCAGATGTAGAAATTTGTCTTTCAGAAATTTTAAATTTATGTGTCGTGAATCTTTTGACCAATGCCAATATTAAAACTTAGGTAAGGCAGACACAGATTGAGTCCAGCCATTGCATAAAAGTATGAGGCCTGGAGTCCTGAAACCGCACCCCCTTTCTCCTTTTACTTTTCAGTATAAGGCAGCTCATGCTGATCCAATATCTATTTCCTCTTGGGCTAATATTCCTCACATCTTTTGCCGTACTCTTGTCTCGTTATGAACATCAAATGGTATTTCTGTTTCAGTAAATCTATTTTGATGCTCTTTTATTCACTAGCGTCTTACGTGACAATCAGGACTTCACTGAAGGAGCATGGCTGGATTCTGGGACCTCTCTGTTCTCTTTTCTTTGGACTCAATTTAGCAAGGGATAGGAAGGGTAATAAGGGTTCAATTTCCAAAAAAGATGGGGGCATAAGGACCAAGATTCATGCTACGTAACTACAGCAACAAGCAACATGCCTAAACCAGTTGTGCACAATCTCTTAATTCTCCAGTGAAAGAAATAGCTCTTTCAGATGTGGACTGAAACATCAAGAAGAAAAGTACCAGTCATATAGAAACACTTGGATATGCCTAAAAAAAGAAGGAATGTCATCTGAGTAGCACAGGTAGAGAAAGACCTGGAATGATTTCTCTGAGAGAAGGGTTCCAAAATCTTAGAAAAAATGATGAAGATGTACCAGATGTCAGAGAAAGAAGCATGTCAGTCTAGAACTTGTTCAATCAGTGATGATAAGAATAGGCTTACTAGCAAGGGTGACCAACAGGTGATATGCTGGGGAGGAGCCTGTATGGCCTTTCCTTGATGTGTGAGACAATTGTATAAACTTTAGCTTTATGTTGATTGGTACAAAAAGGAAACTAACTGTTGATTTTTAAGGCAGTTGGCTGAAGCTAACAGTAAAATGATCTGATGTGCTGAAGAACAATGGTGGTTGGATAAAATCATTGCAAGAGAAATGAGGAACTCTAGTAACCTATGTAACACCTAGATCAGAGATCACCAATATAAGTGGAAGTTGTAAAAAGTCAACTTTAGGGACATTCCTCCAAAGATCCCAGAGGACATCCTCTGGTGGACCCAACCACTGACTGCAGAAAAGAGAAAAAGAGGACCCTACCTTTGCTGCATGTCCAAGGCACACATAGCGACCCTGGTCTGGATCAGTAAGAGAGTACCCCTGGAACAAGGACCGCTGGCCACCCAGCACGGGTGCTGCCCACAGTGAGTTGTTGGGCAGTGTGCGAGGGCATAAATACCCTGGTGTTGCTACACTGAGATGTTGATGGCTAGCAAGATGGTGCAAGTTAGTCTTTGAATGAGCTTGTGTGGTTTGTATTTGTATGACTGTGTATGTTGCTCTTATGTTAGGTTAGATGATATTGTTTGTGTATTATTGCAGCATTAGTATTAAGATTAACAATAATAGCTGAAATGCTACTTTGTGAAATAAAGCATGGTATAATTCAATATAACTTGTGTTGGCTGAAATTTGATTCAACCACCAGTAGGTTGGGAAAGCATGTCTGCATTTGTGTATGCATATGCATCTGCGTGCTTGTTCTCTGAGCACCTATAGATGTGTACATTTGCCTGTATGCATAACAAAAACCACATCCTGAAGCAATTTAATAAAAGGTAGAAAAACTCAAATAAACAGCAAAAATAACCAGGAAATGACCACATTTAAATATGGAATTTGGTAAAGGAAGAATGATCGTTTGTTTCTCAGTGATGAAATAAATATAATTTACTGGCACATTTCAGGATTATTTATATCCAAACATGGAGCAGTTTCCAGGAAGCAGATAAACTAGTTATGCACAGTTGTAAATAATGATATCTAAATGAGCACTCATGTTAGTCTTTCAGCAAAGCATGCTGAAGGAAAAACAAAAAACAGAAAATCCTCACACTGATAAGGTTTAAGCATTCTTAGAGTTCTTATCCTGCAAAGGCTTGTTTGAACAGAAACTGGAGGTGGCATTCTTCTGGCAAAAGGTGATGCATGTACCTTTAAGAACAAGCCTGAGGAGACAGGGAGATACATACATAAGGGAGATACAACCCTGATTAAAACCTGGTTTAAAAGGTAGAAGGAGGGCATCTCTGGAGTCAAAACAGGCAATCTTATGTGATGTCAGATGGAGACAAATATCGCCCATTCACTAAGAGGCAGGCCTCAAAGCCTTTTCAGTAGGTCCATGCCTATTACGAAACAGAGTAAAATGAAGAAAGATGAGTCCTAGCTCAAGTGTTAAAGCTCAAGTAATAATGTACTGACACTGTCTATACAGGGGGGGAGGTGAGGAGGGGAGGAGGAGGGGGACATCTCCACTGTCCCAAAGATTTCCTCTCTGTGCATGCGCTCTGGAGATTCTCACCTTTTCCTTTATATATGAACCAAAACTAAATAGACTAGCGTGGACTTAAGGAAAGAACTTCAGGGTCAGATTCACCTACAAGTTCAGGCATACCCATTTTGAGTGGCTGTTTGGTGGCCTAAACACTGGTGGCAAGTGCTACTTGAACTGTTCTAGGACATGCAAAAGAGTTTTGCTGGCAGATATGACACAAGTCTTTTAGGAGAGACACAGCCTTCTCAGTTTATGGCTGGATATGATGCTAAGAAAGAGGGTAAGAGTCAAGAATTGCACCAGATCTGCTAGCTGGTTGTTTAGTATCGCATTTACTGGCTTATGGTGCACCACTATTTTATGCTCTGATCGTGCTCAATCAAGCATGGCTTACGCTGAAGACAGTAGTGTCACAAGTAAAAAATAGAGAAGAGTGAAGGGAGAGAGAGGCATACAGATCATTATTTTCTTACTGCTTGTACTACACAGTAGAAATAAGCCTAATAGAGAAAAATCACAGTAAGCAACATATTTTGTCCTTTCCTATTAACATCAGAAATGTAGAAAAAAAGATACAGGTTAATTAATGGCATTATAACCTCTACCTCCGTTTTACGGTCTTGACACTGATGAACTAGCTTCTTTCTTACTTTCTTTACGTGTTTTAGAAACTTACTTCTTGTAGGTCCTTGTGCACAGAGCATAACCTCTTCATCTGGATAGTGTGGGGTCTGCTTAGCTCTTCATCCCAGTACTACTCTGGGGAGAGCAGGCATGTGGACTTGTAGTACAGGAGATGCTTGTTGAGGTGGCTGTCATTGTGCCACCTGTTTTCAATGACGTTTTTCCTGTCCTCCATGACACCTTTGAAACAGGCTCTTGTCAATTTATAGACCCCTGACACACTTGCCCCATAAAAGCTGGCTGTGTAATAGAAGTCGTCTTCCTCCTTGGGCACGGTTGCTTGTGACTCAGGGCGAGTCTCACTGAATTTGCTCTCCTAGTGTGATGTGTACTGCCAGCGGCTAATGTTCCCCACCAGTATGTCAAAGATCACCACCTCAAAATCGATAGAGTAGAGGTAGTTTGCTTCACACTGGAACTGACTGTGGATATAATTGCTTATGATATCTGTGCGGTTCATGGACATGTCATGCCACTCAGAGTGGTTCTGCACAGGGATGACAAAGATGATTCTCAGGGGTCGTCTGAAGGGGAGAGGTCTGCTCAGGGTGGTCTGTGAACAAGTAGAAGTTCACTTGGCGCCCAGCAAGGAAGTACTTGTTGGCAGAGCCCATGAACCCTTCTATGAGCTAGACATATCTGAGACACAAGGAAGGGAAGACTTTGTTCCTCAAGGGCTCAGAATCCTAATTATTTTTCCAGAGATATCTTTCTCTTTGTGAGGCAGTATCTCCTGCGTTCTGGGAAGCGGTTGCCTTACTCAGGAAGTTGACACTCACATCTCATATTTCTCCCAGTCTAAATCTGCCCATATTCTATCTTTGAAATTTTTCTCACTCCTGCTCCACCAGCAGCAGTGTGGTATAGCTGGGCAGGGGAGATGAGGTGTAATTATTCAACAAGAGGGAGATAGGTTCAAAGAACTCTCTGAGAAGAGTGATCCCTCACATAACTTCTTTTGCTTTTTAATACTTTAATACTTTTAATCCAATTGCAGTAATAACAAGAACAGTAGAGATTGTCAGGTTATATAGAGTATAAGGATATTTGTGAGACTATCTATCTGATTAATGGCTATTGAGCATAAAAGGTAAAGATAAGAAACAAAGAAATTAATGAAATTAAAAACATGCGCACAAATTATTATGAGCACTAGATTATTAAGACAATAACAAAACCAGGAACTCTTAGGTCACTCACTGATGGGCCTTTGAAGGATCCATTCAAATCTATTTTTGAAGAGGTTTGGCTAGAAACTGTAACTGATAAGAAGGGGAAGAACAAGACTATCCTGGGTCTTGAGAAAGAGTAAACTTTATGCAACATGTAAGAGCAATTGTGGGAATATGCAAAACTTACGTTTGGGGAAAAGGAGTGATCAAGGGAGATCTCTCTATTTTGTGTGTGAGGATGGATGTACCAGCAGTTTCTCTACCTGGATGAGCCAACAAGTAGGAGGAGACCAGAACTTAGAATGACCCAAGGTTGGAGCTGGAGACGGGGAAAGAGAGGCCCAAGGTCTGGTCATAGATTCTGGACAGACAGTCCGAGCCAGGCCTTGAGGAACTCCTGCATGCCTGCGGATCAACAAAATGAGGACGTGTGCCTGTCCTCAATGGAACTAAAAGTCTGGTAAATGGGAAAGAGGAACAGGATCAGGGAGTCTGAGTTGCTCAAGTTTGTATGAGTGCTGCTTGTGCTTACGTGTAAAAACACTGCTCTCTTCTGCTTGTGCCAATATGTGTGGCTGCTGTGTCTTTATTGTACGTGCACGTGCTTCTTTGAAATTTGTGCTTAATTTCACCATAGGGTGGACCTATAAAAAGACTATGGAGGAGAAATCTCTGAGTCTTAAAGGTCACCAGATTTAGCTTCCCTTAACAGGAATATTAGTGATACAGGCCTACATTCTGTATTAAAGGAATCAGAGCAGCTATTTGTAAAGTGTGGAAAGGGGCAGCTATATTATGCTGTATTTAAAGTGAAGAGGCTGTTCTCCACACAGACCATAAGATGGCAGAAGAGGCCAAAGGAGAAAACTTGTGCTACCATTTTGTAACTGGTTTTCAGAGTAAATTCTTACTGAGATGTTCTCAGGATTTTGTGATCTTGATCTTAGTGATCCTCAAAAAAGGAGTAGGGATCAGAAATGCATAATTCATAAGGTAATACAAACATGGCTCAGTTAAATGAAATGTAGCATTTCTGCTTTAAAAATAAGGAAGTCTTTCATTTTGATAAGCCACTAGATTAAATCTTTTCTTACTTCCAAACCAGAATCTGTTACTTCTTGGCACATTTGCAGATGATACCAAATTAGAGGGAGTGGTCAATATGCTGAAGGGCAGGGCTACTACACAGAATAACCTAGGCAGGTTGAAGAAGACAGGAACTTCACGAAGCTCAGCAAAGGCAAATGCAAAGCCATGAAGCTTCGCTAGAGTAACATCATGCAAAAGGGCATTCTGGGGCTGGTTGACTACAAAGGACTCTTAAAGAAAAGCATCTGAGGGTCCAGGTGAACAATAAATTGAAAAGGAGTCAGCACTGTGTCCTTACAGCAAAGAAGGATAACTGCATTGTGGGCTGCAGTAGTAAGAGCATAGTCAGCAGGTAGAAGGGAGAGATTCTTACCCTCTTTGGCACTTGTGAGACCCCATCTGAAGTACTGTGTCCTGTCTGGGGCTTCTGAAGACAAGAAAGAGATTAACACATATGAGCAAGTCCAGAGGAGGCCACTAAGTTGGTGGGCACTGGAGCATATGGCATAGGAGAAGAAGCTGAAACAGCTAGGCCTGTTCAGACCTAAGTAGAGAAGGCTAAGGGGAGACCTTGTTGCTATCTACAGCTATCTGATTGGAGGATACAGAGAAGATAGAGCCAAGCTTTTCTCTGAGGTGCGTGGCAATGGGATTGAATTTAGGATATTCCAATTAGGTATGAAGATTTTTTTAAAAAACAGAGGGAGTGGTCAAATACAGGAACAAGTTGCCTGGAGAGGCTGTGGGAGTTCTACAACTGACTAGTAAAGACCCTGAGCAACCTGTTCTAGTTGACCCTGCTTTGAGCAGAAGGTTGGACTATATGATGCACAGAGGCCCCTTCCAATCTACATTATTCTCTGATTCTGTGGAATATTTTCTTTCATTGCTTTGCATTTTATTTAAAAGAATATTCTGATCTTTCAGCTGTGCCTGTGATCTCAGGACAGAATTAATGTCAGCGGCCAAATCTTTCTACCTGAGACATTCACTCCAAGAGAAATTGCCCAGATGTGCAGTGTGGCCCATATTCTTACAGCTCCAGGCAAATGACTAAGCTACTTATTATGCCTTGTCCTGAGGTTAAGCTAACTGAGTAAGATGTGGAAGACTAGTGTACCCAACATAAGAAATTACTAGATGTTACAAGTAACAGTTTGGGAAGCTGACAAATGTATGGATAGTGCCAGGAGGAAAGGCTGGATTTCACAGGTGGCTAAGAGAGAGATTTGTGAGAAATGGCCAACGTTCCTAGATAACTGAAGAGATGTATTGGAGATGCCCTCCATCCCCCGCCCCCCAAGGCTAACAGCACCTGGGTAACTGCATCAGTAATACTATATGAGTTGTAGCAATATCAGAAATAACAAATTTAGTTCTGAATATAGCAAAACAGTGACCATTAGAGATAAAGTAACTAGGAGTGGACTGTTTTTTTTTTTGGGAGGGGACTGGGATGGAAAGGGAAGTACAAGGGTGGCAAAAGAGAGGTTCAAGAAATGGGAAAGGCAAATCATGCCGTTGGGCTGTCTATGGGTACGTGTTGAGTAAACTAGGCTTTGATCACAGCAACTTAAATCAGGACAATTAGCTAAACCCATTTTTCTAAATGTACCACAGGAGCCAGATCTGCTTCTATGGTCAGCAGGACCAGTGAGGAAGAGAGGTGCCTTCCCTCTCTAGGAGAGGAACACTCAGCAGAGGTAGATTGAGCATCTTCACATCACCATGTACATTCCCTTTTCAGGCATAACAGCATTGGCAACTACTCACCACTTCCCAACATGTATCTGTTATGTTCTTATCGCCTTTGCTTAGTCAAGTGTGTTCAGTGTGCATGGCATATGGTCCAGGTCTCCTCTGAATCTCATGTAGTTCCCTATGACCAAACATAATTTTGATTTATGAGACTATTTACTTCTCTTTTTTTTTTTTGCACAAATTTTGATCTGTGTCACAGACCAGAGTGCTATCTTTATTGCACTCCAGTGTTTGTTGCATGCCCTACATGTGGAAGGAATCTGGCCTACTTGTGGCAAGGACATGTTTAGGCATTTTGAATTTCCTTAGAAAAGTCGCAGAATCACAGAATCACAGAATCGTTTAGGTTGGAAGGGACCTCTGGAGATCATCTAGTCCAACCTCCCCGCTCAAGCAGGGATCACATCCAGGCAGGTTTTGAATCTCTCCAGCGAAGGAGACTCCACTACCTCTCTGGGCAACCTGTTCCCGTGCTCGGTCACCCTCACAGTAAACAAGTTTTTCCTCAGGTTTAGGTGGAACTTCCTGTGTTTCAGTTTATGCCCGTTGCCTCTTGTCCTGTCACTGGGCACCACGGAGAAGAGTCTGGCCCCATCCTCTCGACACCCTCCCTTCACATTCTTGTACACATTGATGAGATCACCTCTGAGTCTTCTCTTCTCCAGGCTCAACAGCCCCAGCTCTTGCAGTCTTTCTTCATAGGAGAGATGCTCCAGTCCCCTCATCATCTTTGTAGCCCTCCGCTGGACTCTCTCCAGTAGGGCCATGTCTCTCTTGGACTGGGGAGCCCAGAAATGGACGCAGCACTCCAGGTGAGGCCTCCCCAGGGCTGAGCAGAGGGGCACGATCACCTCCCTCCACCTGCTGGCAACACTCTGCCTCATGCACCCCACGATACCCTTGGCCTTCTTGGCCACAAGGCAACATTGCTGCCTCATGCTCCTGCCTAGGTGCGGGACCCTGCACTTGCCTTTGTCGAACTTCAGGAGGTTCCTCTCCACCCACCTCTCCAGCCTGTCCAAGTCCCTCTGATTGGCAGCACAGCCCTTATGTATTTTTTTTGATCTGCATCAAAGAACAAAATTGTGTTCGGAGGCTGATCTAACTTCATGTGAAACTAGGTTTTAAAGAATTTGAGGCATGAAATAGGTAATGTCACCTTTCTCCACAGGGATTAAAAAAGGATGGGAACTTCTAGAATTCAGATAATCTCAGTCATTTTAGATACTTGTCATAGCAGAAAGTGAACCATCTCCTGGAAGTTCTTTTTGTTCTCCCTGAAGTACAAATAGGACTTCGTGAAATAGCTAAGGTTTAGAGAACCAACCTTCAGTTATGGGGAAGGGAGTTAACCTACACAGATGAATTTTCATTTTAAATGTTAAATGAGGATCTTGATTTTCAAGTATAGTTTTCCTATGCTCCTACTGTATTACATGAGAAGTTATAATCACTAAGTGAGGATTCAGATGTCTAAACATAGCTAACAGCATTTCTGATGCCATTAGGTATCCAACATATCCATATAGATATGAGACAGCAGATTTGACACTGGACCTGTTTTCTAGGGTAATATTCCAAAAACCAAAGTTTTCTAGGGTAATATTCTGAAGGAAGGACAAGAGGAACTTCAAGAAATTCAACATAGACAAAAGTAAAATTCTGCACCTAGGAAAGAATAACCCAATACTTCCGTATAAGTTGGGCACTGAGTGACTAGGCAACAGCTTTGCAGTAAAGAACCTGGAGGTCGTGGTAGACAAAAAGTTGACATGAGATAACAGTATGTCCCTGCAGTGAAGAATGCCAACTGCATCCTGGGCTGTATTAGCAAGCATGTAACCAGCAGATCCAGGGAAAATATCCTTCCTCTCTTTTTGGCACTTATGAAACTTGTGCCCAGTCTTGGATTGCCACTGCAAGAAAGACAATCTGTACAGAGTCCAGCAAAGGGTTGCCAATATTGTAAGGGGGCTGGGGTGCATGGTATAAAAGGGGAAGCTGAAGGAGCTAATTTTTTAAGTACGGAGAAGAGAAGGCTAAGGAAGGGCTTAATTGCAGTCTGTCACTATTTGAAAGAAATTACAGAGAAGATGGAGCCACACTATTCTTAGATGTGCACAGCTAAAAAGACAAGAAGCAAAGACTCAAGTTGTAACAAGTTAAATTCAGAATAGATATTACTAAAAAAATAAATTTATTTTTAGTTTTTTTTTACTTTCCTATTTTCCTCTATTATTTATGAAGGAGACCAGCTAACTGGCTTAGACCTAGATGTCTACAGGCAAGATGGCATCTACTCACAAAGGTCAGATTTGGTGGAAACTTTTTTTATGACGAGATGAACAACACTGCTTAGACTAGAGTGACTTGCACTTCCAGGTGACTTTGAGCTACTGTAGTAGCATACTTTAATTGCCTAATCTGATCTTTGATGAGAATATACTTTTCTGATGAAATCAACAGAGCCATTAAACTTCTGCTAAGGATAGGAGTCATGTCACCTAATATAGCCATCATGACTAATCGTCTAAGTTAATTGTCTGGATTAAT